CGACCCGCGTGTGCATGCGCATGCAGTGCGTGTGTGTGTGTGTGTGTGTGTGTGTGTGTGTGTGTGTGTGCTTAAACCCAAATCCTATTTTGCAAATCACCTCACGAAGAGGGGTTGTGGTCGCAAGGACAGTTCGCATTCAGGGGAACCAATTGTTTAGGTTGGTGTATAATTTGCTCAGAGAGAAACGTGGCGTTGGGTGCTAGACAAAACCAAGTGGGCCACTTGGGTGCCTTTGGCCCCACTTTGCTCCTGGAGTAGCCTTAGATGAACAAAGACAGAGGTTCCTCAAAGGATACGCATGTACAAATGGCATTTGTCAGACCCTTTCAGAATCAGGTATCCCGGAATTGGTGATTTGGCCTGCTTGTTGGGAGATGTGCGTCGCCCTGGTGTTCATCCAAACCAAATGGTGGAAATTACTCCCTTACCTCCAGACCACCAATCCTAATCACCCAGGAACAAGGTTGCTTCAGCAGTGGCGCGAGTTTTCAATCAGCTGTTTGCTTGGATATTCAACCCGCGTCCTATGTGGTTATACGTCCTGAGTGGTTGTCACCACATAGATTTGCAAACGGGCCATGGTTATGAACTGCTTACCTTTGGTGCAATTTACTTGGCTGTTAGGACTTTAACTTTTTGCCAACTAACGGGTTTTCCACTAAACCACTAAAAGTTAAGCTTTTAGCAGGGGAGCAGAAAGCAACCGAGTTACTACGTATCAAGCAGGGTTGCCATGCCCCCCATGGTGTATGAGCAGTGGCACATTCAAGGGGTACACGGCGTTTGGTTTGGACCTTTCTAAGGGACGTTCTTGGCTCCCCTGCGAGGGCTCACTTTGCTTCTTCAGTTTTGGGAACTTGTCCAGGTCATGTTTCGTCCTAGTCCAATCCTTCGGCCGCTTGGCTCATGTTTCGTGAGCTGCTTGCCCGACAGGCCGGGCTCCAGCCGGGTGCCCAAAGAAATGCTCGGAGACTGGGAGTCCACTCCAATCAAAACTCAAACCGGCGCAGTTGTCATTCTTTAGCATGGGGTTCTGGATCCATTTTGCCGATGGGTTTTGACTCATGGGTCGATCATTTTGCCTTCGCCTCCCAAAACCCCAACTTTCGAGCCTTCGAGCGGGCAACCCAAAGTCAATTTTCTTCCGGCGTGGGAAGGTCACCCTCGCTGGAAAGCATTCGGGTTCCTGGGACCGCTACTTTTGCCCGTGGACATCTATCCCGGCGGACAGCATTTTGAGATATGTTGAGTCACAATCAAAACCCGGGTAAGTGAAGGTTAGTAAGGGACAATCCCAACCATAAATAGCTGCGGCCGCCTTCTTAAGTCTTTACATGGTTCTGGGTAGGCCATTTTAATACCGGCTTTTGATTATGACTCATTTTGGGTCAAGTTCTTGTAGGGTTTACTGAGTACTGAGGATGGACAAACTCCTGCGCCAGTTGGTAGGCGGCTTATCCCAGTATTCATAGGGCTTTATCGATCCCAACGGGAGCAGGATTTGGTTCATCCACAGATTTTAACACACTACATCTTGAACTTGAATGGTTGGAGCCCCCTGAAAGGTGGCACAGGCTGTTTAAATATCCAATGAAAACGACGCTCAATGGTGATCCCCATGTTTGGTTCCCGGTTCACTACATACTACAAATGTGGACCAGGAGCTAAACACGTGTTCTGTGTTTGAGCAACGGCTTTTGGCGTTTGAACGCAAGCCAACATATGGGTATGGGTCAACATTAAACCATCAGGGACTGCAGGTTTTAGTCCATGTTTCCACTTACCAGGGTTCCATTTTGGACACCTATTTTTTGACCCACAGCCATATGAAATCATCCGTCATTGGATCTTCGATTCATCCGCCTACCCTTTGTCCAAAACTCAACGGAATGGAGCCTTGCAAAGGTGATGCAGTCGTTCAATCGCCTCCGATCATCCACTTCCACCATGATTAGGTATGCGTCAAAACAGGGAGACGCCCAAAATCGCGGCTTTCCTTTTGGTTTCCCTTGAAAAATCAAGCTGAAAAGGGACCCCATACCCAGTGTGGCTTTCGGGGATGGACCCTGCAGCTTTCAATTTGCGGGGCCTGAATTTGCTCAAGCCGAAAGGACATGGGTCCAACGAGGGTTCCTTTGGGATAAACATCAGCCAATGGAAAGGCCATTAGCTTGCTGGTGCGACAGGCAGGGAATGGGGAATGACCCCTATAAACCATCCAACTGGTGGTTTCTTGTAGGGGACCCCCTGAGTTCATTCTCTCATTCTCTACTGAGCACCGCATAGGAGCAAGGTGGTTTCCTTGGGTTGCCCTTTATAAAAAATAAAAAAAAAATGAAAAAAATCGGGTCCCCGATTTTGAGAAAGAGACCCAAGACAAGTAATCAGTGCCAGACATCTACAGAAGCCGAAAAAGGCTCTTTTATGCCCGTTTCAGGTTCCATCATTTCACGTTTCCAGCAAAACGACCTACCTTTCTGCAGGTCTTTGCTGGTCAGACGCTTACGGCGTTTTGAGGTCAGATGCTGTCATGTACTCCGCCCTCATCGACGGCTACTGCAAAGAGGGCAGTGCCTTTGGCTCGATTTTTGGAAATCCGCGCCCGGATTTCCAGTGCGTGCTTGCTTCTGTGGCCAAGGGTCTGAGTCAGGCTTGTCCTTTAAAGGATACTCGTAGCAATCCTGGCCCTCCTCAAATTTCCGAAGGCTCCATTTCAGGGAGAGGATATCTTGGAGACCCAAGCTGGCCCATGTTGCAAGCCATTCCGCTCCGGTTTCGCACCACACGGTGCAAGCGGAGACGCCAAAAATGCGCAGGGGGGGTCCCTCTTTCTCGCGATTTCTATTCCAGCGCCAAATGGCTGTAGGTCAAAACCAATGGTACCATTTTGGTTGGTAGGTGAATTCACCACCCATTTTAGAACCTATTTTAGTGGTTGGATTGGGTGATGTTCACTGGGGGTATGGGATTTTGACCCATGGCCAAATGCCCACACATCTTGTCGCGCATGGAATCATTCAGTCTTCTTCCTTTCTGTGCGCAAAACTACCTTCACTTAGTGTCCGTAGCACGGAAGTTCTCGAAGCTTCCGTTGATTAAGGGAACAGATATGGCCATAGGTCATATAAGGAGTTGCAGCTTGGGCTTCCCCAGCCAGTTCCGGGAACATGGCCGAGCTGGACTGGAAGCAGCGAGACCCCGTTGGCTGGAGCCAGGCGAGAGCAGCCTCCAGCGAGCGCAGCAGCTGCTGGAGGCACCAAAGTTGGAGCCTTGGGAGCTTGGTATTGGTGGTGGATGCAGCCACTCGGTCCCTTAGGTTTTTTTTTTAAAGCTTGTTGGGGTTCAGCATGCAGTCGGCAAGTGCAAGTGAACGAGCAGAAGGTGGCTGTTTTGTGGAGGCTTTCCACCTGAACTCATGGACGCCGAGGATATGCCAGGGATAAACCTGAATAAAGCCCTATGGCCCTTCGGGGTCCATGATGAACCTTCAGCGCGAAAGGCAGAAGACGAACATTGTGCCCGCGATGTCCCAACTGTCATACCACCATTTCTGGTTTGGACTGCCTACATTTTCCCTGAGAGTTGCGGGTTTCCTTTGTTCCCCTTCAACAATACTGTAATTCCACTGAAAGCAAGGATTTCTTTTGGGGGGCAGTTTTGAAATTTGTGTGGTGGCTCATGTTGTTTTCCTCTTGTAGCTCTTGCATGTTGTTTATTTTTAGAAATACTGACCGATGGGCTGTGGGGATTCATGCCCCCATGTCTAACCCGATGAAAACGCAACTTCTTTGTCAGCTTTTGCTTCCGAAGTTGAAGACCCGACCCGAAATCCATCATTTGTCCCACAACCCCCCTCAGCTTCCATTATGAGGGAAATATCACCCCACAATACGCATGCTTAGCGAGAAATTATAGTCAAAGGGCCCTGGTAGACTCTTGGTCTTGCTGGCCCATTAGACCCATCTATTCTTATCCCAAAAGATCCAACCCTCCCGCCCCCCCACCAACCCCTCCCCCCCTTCCCCTCACCACCCCTCTCCCCCCCTCAGCCCCGCCTCCCCGCCCCCCTCAGCCCTAATGGCAGGAAATGGCGGCCGCCAAGCTGGCCAAGCCCCGGCCCTTCAGCAAGCTGCTGCGGGCTCACGCGCAGAGGCGCGACCGATGGGCCGATGGCCGCTGGGCCGATGGGCGGGCGGCGGCCACGGGAAGCTCCCAGGAAGAAACCCCGAAATGGAAGAGTTGGTTCCATTTTACCCGGGTTAATTGCGGGAGCGTCCGGCTGTTCGTCTGAGGGAGGTGTTCTCTTCAACATCCGAGCCCAAAAAACATGGCCCGACAAAAACACAAGCACACCTACCCCAAAAAAGGGCAAGACTCGTCTACCTCTATTGAGCCAGAGTTTTGTTCGAATGTTTCATAGGCTGAGCTACTTAGCACCTTGCATTTTGACTTTGGTTATGGATTTGTTCACTTCCAGGCCCCCTCGGCCGTTTTGGCGTAAGTGGCTTGCCAGGCGTTCACTTTGTAAATTCTCCTCCGTGACGTTTCCCCCCGTTCAGAGCAACAGTGAAACGTTGGGCAGCCCTTTCCATAGTTTGGATGGCTGTCAAAGTTACTACTCCTTCCTTTCCCATGCTCCGAAGACCCTGGCACAAGCTTTAGTTTCCCTCGCAGGGTGCCTCACACCCACATCAGTCGTTCTCACAGTCGCTCCGGTCAGGTTCAAGGCAGATGATTTTAGCTTCTGACTATGACAAGAGATACAACACACGACCCACCCCAAATCCGCCGATTACAACAAGGTTCTCTGGACTCCAATGTCAGCCAAGACTCGAAAACACGTGGGCTTGCTCGCGCCCGCCGCCTCGAAGCGCCCACCCAGCAGACACGGCGATGGGGTTACGCCAAGAGATTATGAGCCGCTCACAAAGCTGCACCTCACGAAAACCTGTGACCTTTTCCCCAAAGGAAAGAATCTGCCCCTCTGAGCTTTTCTCTCTCACCCCCCGGGCTCCGTCTTCCGATGCGCGCGCGGGCGCCCTTTCGACCGCATGTCCGTGGGCCTCCAGCGAAGCGGAAAGGCCGGACATTTCTCGGGCGGACTGGGCCCAGTTGAAGTGAATTGTGAGGATTTCTGGGGATATTTCGGTCTTCACTCAGAGGGTAGCTTGTTTTTTTTTTTTCTTCTTCGTTTCTTGGCACTCTGATCACCTGACAGAGTTTGGAGTGAGGGCATCGAGCGCCGCATTGGAAACGGAATGAATGGCCTTTCAGGGGGATGGGGGGCCATGTTCAAATCAACGAAGACCGGGCAGGTTTCATTGGAACGTCTTGGCTCAACGGGGGCTCATGCACCACCTTCAAGCGGGGCGTGCACCTTCGCTTGGGAGCAGCGGGCTCCGAACGCCTGGCTTCCGAGCTTGGGCGAGTCTATGCTTCAAGGGAACAGGGTTGTCGTTGGGAGACATTTTTTTTTTTTTACATTTTTGCTTTTTGTGGTTTAGTGGAAAATCCCCACTTACCTCTAAAATTTAAATTGTTGCTCCCCTTCCAGCGTCGACTAAGGGAAGGGGTACGGTTATCGGCTAACCAAATTGGGCATTGCGGGCCCTTGAAACCATGGCTTCGAACTGATTCTTGCTGGGGTGGACGATTTTCCGACAAGACCGAACACCAGACGCGGAAAAGGGGGACCACCCAAAAACCGATACCCAAGTTTGAAAAGCGATGGCGAAAGTGCGGTAGAGTAAGTTTGTTGGTTTAAGGAATTTGCTGCTTGCTTGTCTTGCTTCCTCGGGAGCTACCACAAGGAACTCTGTTCCCTCACCCCAAGTGGACTCTTCTCCAAACTGGCTGAGGTTCATTCCATTTGGGGGCGACTCCGTTTGGCCATGATTTTTATTTGCCGAATGGCAATACCGTCCCCCTAAACGGGTTCTCAGGCTACTTGGCAAGTGGTCGGAATCCCTGGCTACAGGCCGTAGAACGGGGTCCTTTGAGCTAACACGAGGGACCCGCGTAGTGTTGCGGACCTTCATGAAGAACCAGGTTGCAACCATAGGTGTCCCTTTAAGGTTCGGCTACAAATAGTTGGGTGGCAGCGGTTGAGTGGCATTCCATTTACTAGGACCATCTGTTTTACCAAAAGGACACCCCACTTGTCCAGTGGCGCCGCTTGCCCAGTGGCGCGTCTTTTGTCTTGGGGGGGAAGGGCTCCCCTTTAAACTCCACCAACCGAAGAATTGGACGCTTCTTTTTGTCCCCTGGAAATCCACATCTGAGACATAGGCCCCAGGTCCTTTTTGTCTCCGGGTGCCGCGCCGAGGAGCCCCGGGTGTTGCTGGTGGCCCTGCAGGTCCTGGCCTATGCGGGCCAGTCCGTGCTGCCACTTGCCTCGAGTAAGTGACTGGGGAAGTGGGTGGCTCTTTGGTTTATTTTTAGTTAGTTGGTACCCCGTGTTTTTTTCTTTTTTTCTTTCCGGTTTGGGGGGTCCCGAAAAAAGAACTTCAAGGGGGAGTTGTGAGTGGGTGGGGCTGGTTGGTATTTTTAGTTGGTACCTCTTTTGTTTTGCGGTTTTAAGGAGAGACGAAGACAGCAACCAGCATGTTGGGGGGTGCGAATCCTAAAAAACGACGCACCCAAGTGAAAGCAGTGAGAATGGCTCGAAATCAGGACAGGTGGGGCTGTTCTTCCAAATAGGGGGGCGGTCACTCAACTCGAAGAGCACCAAAACCCTTGTGAGCCACTTGCTCAAAACCCGGGTAGATGAAGGTTAGGGACGATCCCCTTGCCATAAATAGCTGCGGAATTCCGGCTTCATAGTTCTTGAAGCACGGTTATGGGATTACGACAATAGTACTAGGTACCGATCGGTTTTGAGCAAGCGACTCGCAGGTTCCAAAGCCTGCAGGTTCGAAGCCAGGTGGCAGGTCACGCCACAGAGAGACGGCCGTAAACGAGCCCGAGCCCCAAATGGAGACGCGAACACACGCCGTTTCTTTTTTTTTTGCATGTTCATGTGTACGCATGTTTTTTGCATATACGAGACGGGGTCAACATTACGATCATCTCAGGCATGTAAGTTCGTATCACGCAAAAAATATGTTCCAGTGCTTGGGTAGGTTTTACTTGCGCGATATGTTGCTAGTGCTGATGGGGAGTTCTTCGCTGGCCTGAAGGGCCCGCCATGGCATACGGTAAGGCTTCGGCGTGCCTTTGGGGCCCAAAAGGCTCAACATGACGTGGAGCAAAGATATGTGAAATTGCTCCCTATGGCTTGCCCTTGCCATCCTTCAGCAAGATGTTGCGGAAGCGCCAACTCGAAAATATATCCTTCTCCGCGTACGAGTTGGTCGTTGTGTCCGCTTGGCGGAGATGAGCACGAGCTTGCGCAAGCATGGCGGCTCGATCTCAAGGACCGAAGTTTGGGCAGTATCAGACAGCAGCAAAAGCTGCCTGCGATGGATTCCGCGCATTTGCAAAGCGCCTCCAGCTCGCGAGTTGCGAGCACTGGTATCGCTTTTTTGCACATCGAAGAGACGGGGGATGTCCTTGCCTTACGACGCCAACCTATTGGGTTGGGCTCAAAACCTACGATTGGGAAAACACAGGTTAAAAAAAAGGGGGCAACAGCGCCGCCAACCTTGTTCTTGGGCCATGTTTCACTAAATGTAGAGTTGCGGGGTTTCCACAGCAACAATGTGTTCTCTTTGGTTGGAATCGATTCCTCCAAGTAAAAGGAAGAACAGGGAACGCGCGAATTTGTGGGGATGTTTGGGTTGTCTGAAAATAGACAGCACTCAAGATTGGTGGTGTTCCTTGTGTTCCCTATTTAAAGCCAACCCAAAAATCGCACCCTCAACAAAACACACACACCCGCTTCTCATATTCTGAGTTTCCATTTGTTTCTAGCAGCAACGCCACTGCAAGCCGGGCTCAATCAGATCTTCGCGAGGGTCCATGGCACTAGCAGGATGTTTGAGGGAGTAGCAGTAGCAGGGGTAGCGTGTTAAAACCGGGTTGGCCCAGGTTTGACATCTACTTGCAAGGGGCTCTCCATGTTCTTCATGTTTCCCCTGGTTTAAGCCCCGTTTCAAGACTGAGTTTCAGCCAATACTGCTTTGCTGGCGCCGACAACGTTTGGCAACATGGCCCCCTAGTCAGTGTTTGGTACCCACGACCTGCTCTGATGCAACAAAAGCAAACAACACGAAGCGGCTCACATTTAACGTGCGATTGGTATCCTCTCCAACACAACTTCCTTTGCATAGTTCCAAACATTGAAGGCCCAGATTGATAACAAAGCAGCTCTTATCCCGGAATTCCCGTTCGCCCCTGAAACAAGTTTGGCCTTGGTTGGTGTACGGGCCAACCTCAGAATAGCATTGACAAACAGCATCAGTCCGTCAAGCTGGCTGGCTGGCTGGTTGCTCAGTTGCTGGGTTGTTGGTTGCTTGACAACCGCTTGCGCGATACCTGGGAATCGTTCCCCCCCCCCCCATTGAGGCAAACAATGAGTCATTGGGAAGGTCGTGCGATTTTCCACCCTTGAGGGGCAACGAAGAGGGTTCCCTACAAATATTCCCACCTTGAGCCGATTCATGCAATGGTTCAACGCGACAAGTGCGCGTAAATGGGTTGCATGTGCCCATTTTACTGAGAGCTGTGGAACTTTCATGTTTCTATTTACGACCTGCATTTGGACCCATCACAGATGTCAAACTCCACGGAGCGAGGATTTGTCTCACCAAGCAGCCGGATGGAGGATGGGGGCTCGCGCGCATCGGGGCTCGCGCGTCGGCTCTCCAAACTCAGACGAGGCCCATTCCACATGGTGCCCTATATTTTCCTTTTTGGCGGTTTTAAACATCACCTTTTTGGCCCATGAAAGGTGAGTGTCCCTTGGTGGGGGTGATGTTTTAAGAGGAAATAACTCCGGAGCTCTGTTCTCCATTTCTTCGTGGCCGAGGCCCCTCCAAAATCAAAAAATCTTGGGGCTTTGGGAGGCGATCTTTTAGGATTTTTTGAACGCAGGAGCACTCGATAGCAGGCTGGGGTGTCAGGTGTCAGGTGCAAGATGAACCACCAGAGTTTCTAGGATTCGATTCCTTGTCCATTCTTTTCAACCATCGTTCTTTTCAATAACCGGATCCGTTTCCCCAGGGTTGTTGGTGGCTTTCTGGAAAGAAGGATCCCTGGAAAGAATGGGGAAGCTACCCCTAGAGAGTTACAATCCAGTTACCTTCATACCTGAAGTCCCGGCACCTTCGGTCGGAAATCGGAAAGTCGGGTTTTTGGTTGCGGATCAAGATGTTTTCGAGGTAGCCAAGCTCTGCCCTGTTTGTCCTTAGAGCTTACCCTCATTCTTGATTATGAATTGAGTCTCAACCACGATTCTTGATATCTTGACCAAATTCATGAAGGGTTGAGACCCTCATTGAGTCCCGGAAATTGCCGTTCCACATGCAATCAACTTCAATCCTGGCAAGAATCATGAACTCGGTCCAAGTTATAGCGATCTCGTCCAATCCACTTGAGGCCCAAGCCCACGGAACCACGGAACGCCGAGTCAGCCCAGGTCGCCGTGGCCCAAAGCCGAAGGCAAACAGCCACCCCAAAGGCGGCAAACGGCCAACTCGGAGTGAGTTACTGTTTGTGGCAACTGCCAAAAACTGATGCGTCCAAATCTGAGAATTCCTGACCTTTGGACCTTTTGGGGCCAAACACTTTGAAGGCATCCACCGTTTGAACTCTCAGGGATTTGGAGACAAATCGTTGCCTTTCGCTTGGAAAGCCTCCAGGAGGCTTCGCCTATGACGTGAGCTCCGTGGTGTGCTTCGAGGAAGGCGACGGGGGGAGGGGCAGTCATCGTTCGGCTGGAGGGAGTTTGGTGTTCAACGCGGGAGTTGGTGGGTTTCCTTTTCTTACCTCTTAAAAACCACAACTTTTCGTAACTTTTTGGGTCACATGGGCTAGATGTCTGTAAAAGATTAGCTTCCCCAGGGCGCAGGGAGTTTTCAGGGGTAAGTTTTGGATTCCCTTCGAAGCAAGCTGAGGGCCTCGAAAGAACTCAGACCCATTTTTGTTTTTTGGTTTTTTGGTCACGTCCGCAGATCTGCCGCAGATTTGCTTCTTGGGGGCTGCCGCTTTTGCCCCCTTGTCATGGAGCCCAAGAAGGGCCCCCGAAGCCCGAAGTAAGGGCTCTAAAGACGAGGTTTTTTTTGTGGGTGCCATGTGAGTTTTTTTCTTGCTGGTGCGTTCTCGGCAGGGAAGGAGACATGGAATGAACGCGAAGCGGATTAACTCCCCCACAGCGAAAACGCCACCAGTTGGATGGTTTTTCTTGGGGGTCATTCCATGTCTCCTTCCCTGAACACCAGCAAGCAATCTGCAGGGTTGACCCTGGTTCCGCTTCGCGCGTTGCCGGCACGTCAGCTTGAGAAATTTGCAAAGCTGGTGTTTGTTCAGGGGAAAAGGGGGCGGGAGTTCAGCTGTGCCAGCCATTCAGCATCGTACCTGCCTGGGGATGGGATCGGATGCATCAACCCTCGATCTGAATTCGCCTTTCAGCTTCCAAGTTGGTCTACTTTTCTTCCTTGGTGCTCCATTTGGGCGTGTCCTCGTTTGGAGTTTGTACCCTTTTTGTTTCAAGGCAAACCCACAAAATATCGAAGCCCATTTTTGAAGTACAAGCCCTTCCGACTGTCTCTTGGCCAACAAGGGGTTTGGAGAACACGGGCAGCAGTTGCTCTGTCTGATTTTTGGGTTGCTCCTTTCCAGGCCTGAAGCTGGCGATCCTCGTGCTCACCGAGCGCCAGGTGCGTGGTAGTCATAAAGGCTTCATCTTTGGAATCTCCGGTACATTATCAGCTTTTGGTGAAGACGGATAAAGATAAAAGGATGAAAGACAAGGCATAAGAAAGGGAATTCACCTCTCTCTTGGTCATTTCTCATTCCTTAGGCCGTCTCATCAATCCCCGTGGTCAAGTAGTCAAGTCGTCTTTGTACGCGTTTCGGTACCAGGGGGTTCCACAACCATGAGTTCCCCCATGGTTTTCCCGCATATTTCTGCGCAAAACTACCCCCCTCCCGCACGGTTTTGCCGTCATTTTCTCTATCCTGACAGGACCCGCTCCTGGGGGTTCCATGTGAATTTGCCCGTCAACTCGAAAGGGTCGACCTGGCTCTGCGCGGCTTTTTGTGGTTAGAGTCCCGTTTATTGGTTGCCTCCTTGAATGGCCCAAATCCTGCCTGCCCGAAATGCGGGGAAGCCATTCAATAAAAGCAGCTCCGAGATTGCTCGCTGAGGCTTGCGGAAAGGGCCGGGAGTGCTGAAGAATATTGCAAGCGAACCAGCCATGGCGGATTGCAGGCTTTTCCCTATTAGCTCCAAACAAGGCTACCTCGAGCCCTTTTAATGTGTGAAGTCCAGCAAAGTCTGCGGCCTAATTATCTCCGCAAAAAGGTCCCCTTGTTGCTTTCAGTCACTCACCCAAAGGACCAATCCGGAAGATAGGTGACCCTTAAGAATACCCATGTTTGACTGATTCTTTGGTTGTGATATGGGGCCTACCCTCTCGCCAATTCACATACTTGATGTTCGGGACCCGGTCGCCTTTGAAAGGAACATCGTAACCACTCGAACTTCAGGTTCGGAGGGGAACTTGGTCCCCCAGCAATTGGTGCCCTTTCTCACCCCTTTTTTGGTTGGGAGGGTTCCCGTACTAAAATAGACTACAGAAAACAAATCGGATACCCCTATTCTAACCTCTCCACTGGAGGACCTAGATGTTGACCCCAAAGAAAATCAACCCCGGTTTATTACTAGGGGGGTGTCACGCTGGGTTTAGTGGGGAATCACCACTTTTGGAGGACCTAGCCTGGTCCAAGCCGAACGGACGCCACGTGGCCTGATGGCCAGGCCTTCCGCGGCTGCGGCGGGCTGCGCACGGCGGCGGTGGCACTGCTGCTGGCGCTGCACGGCGCCTTGCCGCGAAAATTTGGGAGCCTTCGCGAAAATCCCCGAAGACTGTTGGGACCTATGTTTTTCTATATTTCCTTTTTTTCTACCTGTTCCAAGAAATTAGAAAACTCAGGAAAATTGGGAAACATTGATTGCGTACGCTTTTCGACTTTCTAGGGGTTGAAGTCAGATGGTGGGTTGTACTGGGTGATGATGTTGACTTTTTTCGAGTTAAGGTCAATAAAAGATTGCTTCTCTACCACGTAATGGGGTTGGCTTTGATCATGGTAAAGTGGGGCCAGCAAAGGCACAAGATATTTTCTACCCGTCGGGTGGGAAACATGTCTTGTTTGATGAAGCGATGGAAAACCGAGTCTTGGGTGTTTTGGGTGTTCAAAGGGAACCAACAAGCGTTGCAAGCAAAAACTCTCTCACGCATGCACGAACGCGCGCAGACGCATACGCAGACGAAGACACAGACAGCGACATATACACACGCACATATACACACATATTCACACCCCACACAGTTGGGAAGCTGATGTGTGTGCAGGGTCCATTTGATAGTTCCCCCCCAAGAGGATTTATATAAACCTTCCGTTCCCGCAAGTCTTTGACCGAATCCAGCTGGCAGATCAAGCTCATCAAGGCATCCCATTTCGAGGCGTTAAGTTCATTGGGATTCAGAGGCGATGTGACCATGGCAATGGTTTCGGATAAAACAATTGCCGAAACACGACTGAGAATTCAGTCGAGTGAGGGATGTCAACTGTTTCTGGTTGCAAATTTGACGTGGCTCACCTCGTGACACCAGCCCTAGGATCATTGTCGGCGATTCCTGAATCCCCGTGGCCACTTTCTATGGCCACGCCATAGCACTCTCTCAGTCAGTATCACATTATTCTTTTTTGTACGGCCAAGTGTCATCAACCCTCGCCGCCTTCTGTCAATGAAGATGGCAGCGACCCGTAAAACGAGTGGTTTGGTGCATTCTTGATCTGCTATGTGTTTCTGTTCATGTCGGTGCAAAGAAGAACGCCCCAGATTAATAAACCTGTCCCATTATTAGGGGGGTGTTCCCTCGAAAAGTGGTCTGAAGTGGTCTGAATGTCCACTAAACGTGCACACCCCCCCAATTAAAAAAAAAAAAAAAAACAAAAACACAGGGGTTTATTCATCTGGGGTCAACTCCTATGACATCAGCCACCGCGGGCTGAAACGGGGCAACGGCCTGCACTTTCCGCCGCGTGAGGCAACTTAGCCGCCTGTCTGCAGCCAGGGTTTTCATTCGAAGGCCTCGGCCTTCGGTGGTGAAAGGGTCGAACGGAGGCTGCGGGGCGATTTTTGTTGTTTCTGGTTGGGTCGGTTGAGTTGGGTCGGGAGTTGCTTTGGCGTTGCGTGAATTGGGCTTGTTGGTTGGTTAAATCTGGCTGCGTGGTTGGTTTGTGTTTGGTTTGTGTTTGGTTTGGTTTGGTTTGGTTTGGTTTGGTTTGGTTGGTTGGTTGGTTGGTTGGTTGGTTGTTTGTTTGCTTGTTGGTTTGGTTTGGTTGTTTGTTTGCTTGTTTGTTTGGTTTGGTTATTTGTTTGCTTGTTTGTTTGGTTTGGTTGTTTGTTTGCTTGTTTGATTGTTTGTTGGTTTGTTGTTTGTTTGTTTGTTTATTTGTTTGTTTGTTTGTTTTGTTTGTTTGTTTGTTTGTTTATTTGTTTGTTTGTTTGTTTTGTTTGTTTGTTTGTTTGTTTGTTTGTTTGTTTGTTTGTTTGCCTGTTTGCTTGTTTGTTTCTTGGCTGGTTGGTTGGTTGATTGGTTGGTTGGTTGGCTGGCTGGCTGGTTGGTGGGTTAGTTGGCGGGTTGCTTAGTTGTTTCAGTCATTTAGTTATTTCTGGGAGCCGAAGTCGGTGTTGGAAAGGCTGTCGCAAGTTGCAGCCAGTGATGTCACAGTGGCTTACATGCCCCACTCTAAGGTTAAGCCAACTTTTTCCTTAACGGCTGTTTAAAGGCAGCCCATGCACTGAAGAAGGGTCCCATTTTCAGTACCTCCGCTATCACAGACACGCACACAGACACGTTGACAAGACAGGGCACCCTTCTTGGACTCTTACCTTCATACTGTGATACCCACAATCTGGAGGAATGTCTGCAACGTTCAATATCCCTTGTCCTGTTCGCCACTCCGCTTCATTGGACATGAATACATAAGTGGCTGATATGAATACTCACTTCTGCGGAGTAGCTGGGAGAGCAACTTCGGTGGTCGAAAAATAAGTCTGGACTGTTTCTGATCAATCCGTGGATTGCAAGGGGCATCGGTGTCCTTTTGGGAATTCGGGGCTGTCTTTTTCCATGGTACCCCCCTTCCCCCCAAATGGTGGTTTGCTCTTGGGTTCCCTTCGACACCGAAGGGGGTACCCTCAAAAGACGAGCCACCCATTTCTGTCTCACCATTTCGCCTTTCCTTTTGAGATCTGTCCGTCCATTTTTGCGAGAGGTTTTCCTGGCCCATGCCTACTTGTCGCCGCCCATGTACCAGCTGCTGCACCACGCAAAGGTCGTGGCCGCTCGGAAAAGGATGGTTTTTGCCTCAAGTTGAGAGCCCCAGTTGTCCAGAGGCTCGTTTTTTCTTCTTCTTCTTCTTCTTCTTCTTTTTCTTCGGTTCTTGGCATGGTTGGTCCGAAGAGAACGCCAAGCATGGTTGGCTTTCACCCTTCTTTCTTTCACAGCCCAAGAATTGGCATCCAGAAAGGGACTCCAAGTGTTCCGCAAGCATGTGTGTGTGTGTGTGTGAGAGTGTGTCACAAAGGGGACTCCCATTTTTGGGCTTCGGTTTTCCCAGATGATTCTGTGGGGCCTCTCTCTCCTCCTGCCGAGGTGACTGGAGTGTTGCAGCTTGGCCGCGTGGATCTCGAAGCGAAGAGGTCGGTCCCTGGAACTCGTCCCCCATTGCATCCCGGTGAACGCTATAGGTCATGTTGACCCCAGATTGCTTGCACCCCAGTGTATTAGGTCCCCCAGTAGTGCCCTTCTCTCCCCTTTTTTGGTTGGGAGGGTTCCACTACTAAAACAGACTACAGAAAAAAAATGGGTACCAACTTATTCTAGCCTCTCTACTGGAGGACCCAGTGTATTGATAGGAAGCGTGTCCCCTTTTAGTGTGGAATCATCACTGTCGGAGGGGGGCAACCGCCCGATTAATAGAATCGGTGTGTTAATCTGGGGTCAACAAGGGTCCCAAAAGTTAACTTTTTTTGAGTCCTGAGGGCAACCAGCCTCTTTCCTTTGGTTCCCTACAACAGAAATCTAATCCCTGCGAGCATGAAAGGGATGTGCCATTTTCTTCGGGGCACTTCGCCCCGATCAGGGCAAGCGGGGGAAGGGAAACCCAATCATTGTGGGGGTCACCTTGTTTTGAGACAGGCCAAGCGGGGGAAGGGAACCCCAAGCATTATGGTGGGTCGCCAAAAATTTGAGACACAAAGGAATACATCACAAAAGGACAGGGCTCCCTTCCCTAAACCTCCCAAGAAACTGCGACTCGAAGCCGACCGAAGGACCTTTGAGCAAACGGCTGGCCACTGGTGCCCGGAGGTGCCCTCTGTCATTGGGCCACAAGCGAACGAACGGATTTGGATAGGATCTCTGCAGAGTTTTCCCTGCATGGATGGCCGATCGGGCGCAGAGGCCCCCTTCTTTCGAATGTGCCCCCGCTGTATGCCAGATACATGAGATACATGACCTCCTCACGCCTCCTTGCTGTCGTGGAGGGCTACTTACAAGACTTTGCAGATTTGGCAGGGACCAGACATGACCGGAAATTGCTTTGTGGCCCTCACTTCCCACAACCCGAAAGCTGCGCAGACCCCAACACCGCCCTGGAGACATCCGTTTTTACCACCTTGCAAAGTACTGAGTAAGCCTTGTTGGAATGCTTACATGCTGGGATGGTTGGGCCGGTTGCTTAGAGGATTCCTGAACTTGAAATTTCTGGAACACCTTCAATCACAATCAACACCCTAGACCAGGTGATTGTTGGTACGGGGGCTGTTTCAGCCATCAATGGGTGTGGCCGCCCTTTTGATCCTTTACATTTGGGTCGACCCCTTTCGCCTTTACTATTACTACCACCACCACCACCACCACCAGCACCACCACCACCAGCACCACCACCACCAGCACCACCACCACCACCACCACCACCACCACCACCACCACCACCACCACCACCACCACCACCACCACCACCACCACCACCACCACCACCACCACCACCACCACCACCACCACCACCACCACCACCACCACCACTACTGGGTTCCGACTGTGAAGGGAGTTCTCCTATGGCGAAACAAAAAGCGCCCGGAGCTTCGGGGCCCCGAGGTTCCGGGCGATCTTGCAGCAGCAGCTGGTGCTGATCCAGTGGCGCCTCGGAACGGCGGAAACCGCTCGGGAGGGGCGCTGGCGGATTTTTTCGGGGGATCTAGGACGCCAGGGACAGCGGCTGTGGTGGATCACTCGGGGTTTCTCCAGCCACTTCTGTGATACTTTGGGAATCTCCCGCTTTCTATGGGGGGGTTGGTCGGTTTTGGGAAGCCCTTCTTGTATCACAGGGGCTCAAAGACTTGGCCCCTCCGACCATGGGTAAGTTATGACGAGCTCGTAAGACGAGCTGACCCGTGATGGCCCCTTTCGTGGGCTTCCCTTAGGTTGAGAGTTGTAACAAGTGGCCCAGATTTCGAGGATGTGACCGATGTCAGGCATGAAACGTCCTTAAAGGTTCTCCCTTAGTTGCTTCACCACGGGTTTGCTCTCGAAGATGAGCCAGCACCAACAATTGAGCAGATATTTGGCCTCCATGAGCCATGCCGGCTCGCCTTTGAAAGGGGGGAACTTTGTGCCCCGAAAGGGCCAGCATTTCTCATCAGACGCAGCATAACAAATTTCTAGTTGTCAAGATGTAAGTTATCCTTGAACAGTATGTCACTTGCATGCATTTGGTTTTTGTCCATAAAAATGAATCTAGCTCCTCGTCGCAGCAGTTTGTGTTGAAAAAACAAGGGCTTCTATCTCGCTGGACAGCCAACTTCGTTGTGTGCCGGGCTTTGCCTTTCTTTGAACGCTTTTCAGCCCCAACACCAGGGTTTGCCTTGTAAAATCTTGCATTGTACGCTTTGCTTCTTCTTTGTTCAGTTTTCCAAGAAACAAATGGTTGCTTGGAGGTTAAGTTATTCAGGGATCCGGTTCCCATTTACCCGCAAAAAAGGGGTTCAAGAGGAATCCATTTTTAGACCCTTGGTTTTCCACTGGGCCCGCTGAGGTGACGTCCTCAAGATTACCCTCGAAATGCATATATTTTAGCAGGTTTCCCCACCCCAAACTTGTTTTCTATTTATATAACTCCAAATGCCGAACCAACCAGTTAGCCCTTCCTCACCCGGAAAAGTGGTTGAGATCCCAAACTGCCTTGCTTGAACTTCCTCACGTGATTTGATATTTTTTCCGGTTTATTTTGCTTTCCCACAAATGCCCTACCACTTAGCCCTTCCTCACCCCAAATGATTTGAGACCCCTCCGGTTTATTTTCCTTTCCCAGCTATCTCAGCAAGTTAGATACCTTGTCAAGTTTCAGGACAACCATAGGAGCCAAGTCATTCGTTTCCTTGGTTTGGCCCCCCTTTTTTTGCCATCGGGTCCAGAAATTCTCAGAAAGAGACCCAAGACCACTTGCTGGAGCCTCCTTTTCTGCCCAAAAAAGAAAGAAAAAACAAAAAAACCCAAAACAACACGTGAGGATTCGGGTCCCGGAGTCGGACCCCTTGGCTCCCACTCGGGGCGCTCGCTGTGTTTTTGCACGGAGAAAACCGAAAAACCGCCGCGCGAGGATCGCGCTGGCGCAGCTCTGCCTGGCGCTGGCGGGCACGAGTCAGATCAACTGCTCCACGGGCGCCGACAGGAAACTCGCGGCTCCTCGCCGTCGTCTTCGCGCGGGCGTCGTCTTCGGCTGGTTTTCGCCGTCGTTTTCGCGGGGTGCTTCGCGGTTTCGTGGTTCAGCGCGAAAAAGGGGGCAGGGGGAGCGTCTCCGAAAATTGTGGATGGAGATGCGAACTCCAGAAACCGCAAAGAAACAGTCAGAAACCTGGGTCTCTGATGATTGTTGTCCAATGGTTTGAACCGTGGTTTCCAAGTGGTGCAGGATTGCGTCCATCCACAGTAGGCCTAGTAAGCAACAAACTTGAGTTTGAAGAGTCGACTGGTTGCGTTTAAAGGGAAACCGGAAGGTTGTTTCAACATGTCTCCAGCAACGGCTGGGCACAACTTTCCCTTCATAGCCGATTGGCTGGTGTGGAACACCAAGAGGAAGCCGTCGCGGTTTTCGGGACTGACCTTCGATGGCCTTTAGAGGTATATGATCAAAGTCCGTTGCTTGTTGCTTTTGTTTAGCAGGAAGGCAACAACCGTTCACTAGGTCTATGTCTTCATACTTGCCGGCCTGGTGGGATGTTTAGCAGCACTTTGGTGGGGATTTTGCACCACATGAAGGATTCCCAAGGTGCAGGATATTGGTGACCCAAGCAACCAGACAGGGATGATCAGCCGGTAGCCAATGGCTTGAGCAAGAGGCATGAAGAAGTCCGGCAGGGGAAGACAAATCACCTGACCTTCAGGCCAACTGCAATATTGGGAACTCTGAACAAACTTTAGAGCCTCCGGCTCAGTCCGCCGACATTGTCCTCTCCCTTTTATCCTTCTTTCTCTCTCTCTCTTGTCTCCTCCCCCGTGTGTTCCGTCGTCCACTCTCCCTCCCTCTGCTCCCCATCCTTCCCATCCCCCCAAGCCTCTCTCTCCTCAATCTCCCTCTCTTTGTTTCTCTCTATCTCTCTCTCTCTCTCGGTTTCTCTTTCTCTCTCTCTCTCTCTCTCCCGCTCTCTCTCCGTCTCTCTCTCTCTCTCTCTCTCTCTCTGCATTTCAGCGTCACGTCCCCCCTGAGTTGCCTCGATGTCCGGGCACCGCCCCTTCATGACCCTGAACTGTCTGCTTACTACTGGCTTTCCCCTTGAGTTTCCCTGCATGTCCTTTCACGTTTCCCATGATGTCCTTGTCATGGCCCTTCCATTCCTTTCAACTTAAGTGAGATTAGTTGGGAGCCTCTGACACATGCAGTTTTGGTATTATCTACGTTGTTTCGTTAGTCGTTGGTTTTTTGAGATGTCGACCTGCTGGGGGTGTTTGCTTTTGCGAAATTATTGCTCGAGCGAACCAATGGCAGATATAGAATGGTTGGGCGCTCATTCGCGCAAGAAGTGTACAACGTAGTTGCGCATTTCCAAGATCATGTGGGGCCGGATCATGCGTTGTTTGGGCCGGCCTCGCATTTCTTGACTGCCCTGGATCAAAAAAATGATTGTGCGGAATTCAGAGGTGAGCCTGGTTTGAGTTTGAAAGCCATGACGGGTAAATGGCAATATGCCCAACGAAAGCGTGGCCGAGCAGAGATTGGAAAAGGAATTATCAATCCGAACAGGCTTGCGAACACAGACATTATAGACATTGTGGTGGATCAGGTGTGGGTTGTCGGATCCAAGCATCCCAAGCGCGAGTTTGAGCTCTTTCACCAAGGAGCTTTTTGCGGACGACAAGACGACGGGCGTTTCTTCTACACTGTCACACGTGCAAGAGATGCTTTCTGTCGGATAGGAAATGCCTCCAGACTTCGGCAACTCTTTTGGAGCCGAAAGAGCACTCGCTCTCGATCAAGTTCGGTCCAAAACCAAATTTTGCGCGTGCATCTTGGGCAAGAAAGCATTGAGGTTTTGACGGAACTCGTGGGGCTTGCTAAGAAAAATGCTGGCAGGGTAGCTTCTTCCTTGGTTGCAGCAGCTAAAGATGTTATCGGCAATGTCTTGGAAGGCTTGAAGGCGAATTCCTTTGCAGTTCGCCAACTACGGGTGGTCCACCTCTTGGTTGGCGATGGCGCCGCTGTCAACGGCGCAGCTGGCAAGAAGGTCTATGCCGATTTGTCTGGCCTGGCTGATGATGCTGTGTCGTACCGAATGATGATGTGGCACTGCGCCGCAATCTTGTTGCCCAACGGGCAATGTTGGCACTTGCGTTCGTTTGTTTTAATACCTTAATTTTTACCACGCCGATTTTCATCGAAACCTGGCCTCGCATATCAGTGCATCGCTGCAAGTTGTTACATTGGAGTCGGCGGACATTCTTGGAGAAAGCCGCGCGCTCAAATTGAGAGAGCTTTATGGGCCGGCAGTGATCCCTGATGATGTAGTGCAAGCTCTGAACCACTGTGTTACGCAACTCGTTCACTGTGAGCATGATCGGCAACGAGACCGCTCTTCTTTGTGTCAGATGGTTGCCCGGATTCTTTGCCAAAGCCTCTTAGTCGTCCATGACAAACCAGTTACTTTGCGGTTTTTTGTTTTTGCGGAGTCGGTGAATTGCCTTTTCAGAATGAAGCTGCTGAACTTGGGGCCTGATGTGTGGCTTCGGCTTCCTGGCCGCTCTCCTGGCAAGGAGAATTCAAAAAGAATCGATAGGGTCCGCGCCTTCTTTGAGAATGGCGCATCCGATCATGCTTTGCGGCAAGCCTCGTTATGTTTGCAGTTGTCTTCCCACGTTACGCATGCTTGCTCCCAGAAGCCAAAGGGCGAAGAGACGCCTATGCTTGTGCGGCTGGGCCGTGGCGATGTGCAAAAAACAGCTGGCAAAGATGTGGCCTCACCTTTGCAGAGACTAGCAATGATCCAGTATTGGACAGGTGTTCTACAGCGATCGCTCTCCTTGGGACTGCGGCTCAAATTATCATGAGATTCGATGTATTCCTTCAGTTTCCAACCAAGACTTTTACCTGTTGGAGGGTGAAACCGTACGTGGGTGCTCCGGGCAGTCCTGATGGCCGTTTCTTGCATGGGCTGCGTGGGTGTCGGAGGGTGAATCCTTACGGCCCGTACGTGGGTGCTCCAGGCAGTCCCGGTGACAATTTCTTTCACGGGCGCAGGGAAACTGAAAGTGGAAGGACCTGCGATAAGGGAAGGGAAACTGTGCTCAAAAGCGCAGTGACCATCCCTCAAGATAGTCAGCCACCTGCCCCTGTAAAGGCTAGCTCTACTCCACAGGCCGAGACCGCAAAGCGTCTCTTTGGCGATGTCGATCCAGATGACTAGTTGTAACAGGTGCGACCGCTTCGGGAAAAGCGTGCTTCCCAATTTGTCTCATGTATGTTGAAGGTTGTCTTGACGAAGATCTGGCATTAGTTGATTTCCGAAGTTGTTTGCTAAATGACATGTCTGGAGTTTCTGACGGTTTGGAGTTCTCACTTGTAGTTGCTGGCGGTTAGTGCATGAGCATTCTACTACGGGCACGTACACGCCATATTAGACAACAACGCGCTAAACCACGCTAACGAGGTATTAACGTTCGCTCAATTGGCTCCCATATAATCAAACCGAACATTCCTTTCAACTCCCCCTTCATGTCCCTGTCATTTTCTCGCTTCATTTTCCATGTGTCTCCAGTTCTTTCTTTGCCAGTCATTTCCCTACATCTCCTGTCGTGTCGATTGGTTTGCACTTCCCTTGTTTTCATTTCTGTCCCTTTCATGTTTTTTTTCAGTTCCCCTTTGTTTCCCTTTCCTTCCCCCTTGCTTTCCTGTCATGTCGACTTCCTATTTCCTCCCCTCATTCCTTGCACTTCCTTGCATTTCCCTTTTGCTCCCCAGTATTTTCTTGCAAAATCACTGTTTTTCCAGCGTTGTCGCAAACATGATGTCAAAAACACAGAGTTTTTCCAGATTTTCGGCAAAAGGAGGCAGGAAACCCAAACCAGCAAAGAGCCGGCAGGGGGATTCGAGCCTGGCCCTGTCTTGCGACACCGGCGCGGCACGTGCCCCCCAAACCCCCCCCCCCCCCAAACCCTACATATCAGGGTGGGGAGGGGTTGGGGGGGGGGTTATCCTCTATCCTCTCCGAAGTATCCGACACGCCTCCGCAATGTCGGCGGATTATGCTCCTTCAAGTTGGATGCTGGTGCGCGAAGTCGCTCCTTGATCATGTCAATGGGAAAGTTTGCACTTTCTTCCACAGAATCCCATTGCTTTCCAGTTACCTTTCTTTGCTCTCCCTGTGTCTCGCTCTGTTCTGCGTTTCTTTCGCCGCTTGAACTACTTGCCAGTTGCTTTTGAGTCCAGACAGGTGAGTTTGTTGTGCTTCCAAGATGGTTATCAACATCACTCCTCAAGGTTAGCAGAACTAAGATGAAAGGAACTAAAATCCACAAAAAAGAACCAATTTGCATCAGGCGAATCGGGAAAAAAAGGTTTTTCCCACCCCAGATAATTAACAACTCGCTGAATCTCCGTGGATCACCCCTCATTCGCCAACGCAGGTTTGGACTAGCCAGCCCAAAGGGAGACCAGACCGCGGTAGCAACTCTGTGGATGCTCCCCTGCTTTTTGCCACGCCCAAAAAGAAAATTCCCAGGGAGACTCCTCTTAATCTTGACCCCTAGAATCAACCTGTTTATTTTTAGAATCAGGCCACTTTTGGAGGGGCTCCCCAGCCAAAACCACCCCCGTATGAAAAAGCTGGGGTTGATTAATACGAGGTCAACGTTAACAGGATGGTTTTCCGGGTCAACCGCTGTCAAGGGTAGGTGGGCCGCACCGGTTTTCAGGAGCCATCCGGATGCTGACTGGCTGCCGGGGGTCACTGTGGTGCTTCTTCTTTCAGCGCCTCAAGACATTTGGCCATGGGTCAAAATCCCGTATCCCCAGTGAACATTAAACTGGGTGGTGCACCTACCGCAAAATGGTACCATTGGTTTTGGCCCACAGCCATGTTCTTGGGATATCCCTTTTGCCATGGGTTTAAGTCTGGTTCCAGCAAGTATTTCAGAAGGTTCTGGCAAGAGGCTCAAGCCTCGTGGCTCCCAGCCATCCGTTTGGTTGCTGAGCTTTCGAGATCTTTTTGGTTGGTTTAGTGGTTGGGTTTCCGTAAATTTAACCCACACGTTTTCCGCTAGGCCCAGCCTTGCCTGGTGCCCCGCCTGTTCCGACGTTAGGGTTGCTCCTTTGGCCGTTTCTGAAATATGAGAAACGGTAGGAACTCGGCGTGCCAGTGCCTTTGGAGCAATGCTGTTGCGCATGGGAAGTCAATGGTCGACCTTTAGTCCATTTCAGGAATAACTCTGAATACGGTCAAAAGCACTGGCAGGAGAAGCTCCAAAACCTCTGCAACATTGAGTGTGGCTTCTGTGTTCCCTTGAGCTTGTCTGGTTGCGGTTAGGGGTGTGTCAGGCCTTTCAGGGTTGTGGAAAACCGATCAAGTAGCTGGAGCCTGTCTTCAAATGGGAGAATCCCTGAAATGGGCAGTTTCAATGTTTCTGCCCTTGGGCAGTAATCCGAAAAAGGTGCCGGACGTGGGCAACATGCTACAACGCGAAGTCAAAGTTTCACGGACTCAACTGCGAGAAAGCCAAGCGTCAAATTGCCCTGCCTCCCCCTCACATCATCAGACCTGCCGACCGCAAAGAACGCACAATAACAGAAAACGTGCTTTGCTCCATGCGCGCATTGGTGTCCTTTTTGGTTTGCTTGGAAACAGCTGGCCCCTGGTCTATGAATAGACCACCCGGTAAATCAGGACCATGTATTTTCAACCAACCAAGAAGGAGACCTATGCATACTTGTAGAACTCGGATTTCCTGCTGCACCGCTTTTTCGGAGCAGCCCCGGTAAGTGAGCGGGGCCCGTTTTGTTTTACTTGTTTGAAACGTTCAGGAAATCCACTCTCGACCCTACACAGAACATGTGCCCTTTTGTGACAGACATCAGCACAACTGATAGTCTAGAAAGCGGTTTGGATGCGCTTTTCGTGGCTTCCGCCCGTCTGTTCCTGTTGGTCCTTTTAGTACACCTTCCACATTTCCTACGGCGGTTGATCCCACACCAGCCGCATCATTGTGCGCAAATAATGATGAGCTCACCTGAGGTGAAACAAGCTCACTCATGATTCAGGTCCCTTACTTGAGGATTCCTGATTCCCAGTGTGTGGAGCTTTCGTAATTTGCCCGGTCACTGATGAGGACTGGCAGCGCGCATTGCATGGCATTGTTGTTTTTCTTTCCTTTCCCGCAGTTTGAGTGTGTGGGTGTGTGAGTGCAAGGATGCTCAGGCAAGGCCCAGAGGCAGTTGACTACGTCTAACTGCATGGTATGGCAACATCTTGCAAACCACAGGATACCATAGGCATAGGTGTCCGGTTAGTTTGGATAGAAATAGATTCCACTGTTTTAGGTTTCTGTTTTGCTTCATTTACCAAGGCCATTAGTTTTTACAAAAAGGTCAACTATGGGGCCATAATGTCTTTCTTTTGGAGGACACCCCTTGTTTGGCTGTTTTTTCAAGTAGCTTTACAACCTGCAAACCATGGTAAAATTACAGTAGGGAGGGTCCCTTGTTCCCCCCTTTCAATATTGATCCAAACTACAGTGACTACAGGATACGGCGGCTTGATAGTGCAAGTAAAGGACAAGGAAAACATTTTAAGTTCCCGTGGCTGGTTTACTTCCAATATTGAGTTGGCATCATTCTGATGATTCCCCTGCAAACACCAAACGTTATGGTGTCAACGGTTTCAAAGCGGTTGGGTTGGTTGTTGTGGGTTTGGAGTGGCTTGGGCTGGGTTTCGGTTGGGTGGCGATGGGTCCGAGGTGTGCTCCTCCCTGGCCACGGCGCTGCTGCGCCTGGGCGCGGCCTCGGACGGCTGGCTGCAGCTGCGCCTGGGCCGAGAGACCGGAGGACGAGTGACGGAGGGACGGGCAAGGAATGCCTGGCCCAGTCCGTGAGCGCCCCTCCCCCAAGAAAAACTCATATCGCGCCGCGCCACTTGCAGAGGGACCCTTCTTTTCTTTTTTCCGGAAGGTTGTTTTGGGGGCTTTACGTGAAACTGCCGGGAGTATTGGTTGGTACTCTGTTTTTTTGAATATTGCATCACAGCTAACCACATCCAACCCAGAAATGCCAGCGAGGTAAAATGCAGTAAAGTGCGAGGATTCCCTTATTCACCTGCTTGCAACTAGGGCATTTACTAGATGGTGAGTGTTTGGATGTGTTGTTCCAGGATGTAGTTTGTCTTACACTGAGCAAACAAAGTTTAACAATAATAAAGAGAAAGAACAAAGAGAAAGATAGAGAAGAACATAAAAAAGAAGAGAAGGAAGAAGAGAAAGGCAAAGGGAAAAGAGCGAGAGCTAAACATACCTATTGTGTATCTTCGAAGCTGCAGCTTCCGCCTGCCCCCCCCTTCCAGATTGTGCTGGAAATACAATATCAAGTCACTCCATCAAATTTACAGCAGGTTGGGTGCAGCATGGCAAAGCAGAAAACATATCCTTTAATATGACGGGATTTATCCCACAGTCTTTTAATCATGCCCTCCCCAGTTTTTTCTTTCAGGGTTGTCCCTCAGACTGCCGACTGCCTCAGTGGACAGATAGACGGCCCCTTTTTAAAGTGTAGGAATTCTCTCCGAGGTCAGACCAGGTGGCCAAAGGATAGCCGTGTCCCGATTCTCTCTCAGGTTTGTCTCAAAATCGAGAAACATAGAAACACCTGGTTCTGCTTTCAACCAGCCCCAAGATGTGCATCCTCCACAACGACAAACGACGCACCCAAATGTGTGTCCCCCAACATCGTGGCACTCCAGCCTGAAACCTGAGCTTTTTGCGTGTATGAATTTGTGCCTGCGTGTCTGTTGCTCATCCATCCTTCCCGGATTTGCAAGTCCTTCTTGATATTGCACGGGGGGTGCGTGTGCCATGTTGCTCTATCCGTGGCGAGGTACCGATTCTTGGCCTCTTTGGCTGCCTATGCGCCTCGTTCTGCAGCGTCTAATTTTGCTTTTTGTCCGAAAGTGTAGTATATATATTTATTTGGCTTCCTTTTGGGAACACCATCATGGACTATTTACCCATTCACTTGCAAGTCAGCGGCCAACATGCGCGGCCACCCTGAAGGACATGAAAGAAGTGGCAAGTTCCTAAATGACCTCACATGGCCTAACGGCTGACCTTTAAGCTGGCCTTGTTTACTCTTCCAGACATTTTCAGGTATGGTTTTGGAGGTGTGGATTCTTATATGCAACCAATAAAGGGTTGTAAGTAAGGAAGGAAGGAAGGAAGGAAGCAAGCAAGCAAGCAAGGAAGCAAGGAAGCAAGTAAGCAAGTGAGCAAGTAAGCCATCAAGTACGGAAATAAGGAATTGCAAGTAAGCAAGTGAGCAAGGAAGCAAGTAAGTAAGCAAGAGAGTATGTACGTAGGCAAGCAAGCAAGCAAGTAAGGAAGTAAGTCAGCAAGCAAGTAAGCAAACAAGCAAGCAAAACCGAGCAAGTAAGTAAGCCAGCAAGCAAGACAGCAAGAAAGCAAGTAAGTAACTAAGCAAGTAAGTAAGTCAGTAAGCAAATAAGTAGGTACGCTTCCTTGCGAGATGTTTACAAGGCAACATACGAACTTGCAGAGATGGCCCATGGTTGGGTTTGCTCACCGTTTCTCTTACGGGGGCCTGGCCAAAACCACCAGAGTGGCAGCTCGCACGCTGTCAGAGAGGAACTTTAGGGTTTTCTGGATATGGGGTTTGAGGGCTTGAGGGTTTTTAGGGTTTAGGGTGTTGAGGTTTGCGGCTTCTTGGCGTTTGAACACGCTTACTGAATTGGTTTTGGGTCCTGGAAGAGTCTTGGGAATTTGTTGAAAATGGTTTCTGCTGGAAGATGATACTTGTGGCGGTGCGTCCTTCTGGGATGGTTTGCGAATTAAGTGGTCAGTGCGCATGGTGAAGCATCCGTTATCCCAGATGTTGAGTGGCACCACCATAGGTGTCCTTTTTAGGCGAGCCTGGTTAAAAATATTGCTTAGTAAACTGTATTAAAAATGGATGGCCATGGTTTAGGTGGGTTTTGTTCCATTTACCAGGGCCATCTATTTTTCCAAAAGGCCACCTATGGGCACTCGAATCTGCTTTTCTGTGGTCTGTTCCGCACTACAAAACGGTCACAAAAAGCATTTCTTCTGCCGGGCAGGCCACTGGCTGCTGGGTAACGAGGGAGTGACACTGGGGACAAAGCTATTCGCTCAATTCCCTCATCTCTAGATGGCAAGGACCTCCCTTGGCTTTGCAGGGTCAAAGGGCAAGCAATGGATGTGGGGGACAGGGTTTCAGGTGGCCGGTTCTAGTCAAACAATAGTTTGAAACTTCAAGATGAAGATTCTTGTGGAAAGTTGCTGGTTTCAGGTTCCTTCTTTTGATGAGCCAAAGATTCGTATCCGCGTTGAAAGTGTTGCAAAGGAGTCTTCTTGAAAATCCAACGCTACGGCAGAAAAGCGTGATGTTCCACACCTCAACCGACTGCAGCAAGCAAGCTGTGCTCATTGTTGCCTGCCTCCTTTTTGTGAGCAACCCTTATATTTGCAAATTGAAACTGGCCCCCAAATTGAAGGTGACCAGAGAGACAATCAAACCTGAAGCGAAGAGACGGTTGAAGTTGATGTCAAGCCCAGATTAATGACCAGGTTTGGATTGGGGAGTGTTCCGTCCAGTGAATGATACCCTCAAAATCGGAACACCCCCTACTGTGGATGGACGAAATCCTGCACCACCTAAGAAACCCTGGAATGATTCGATTCCCCTGTAAATACCAACAAAGAATGGTTTGAACCATGGTTTCCAAGTGGTGCGAAATGGATTTCGCAACCATCCACAGTATTAATCAAGCAAGGGCTCATTCATCCTGGGTTCCTACTTCGTCTCCGTGGGCAAATGAAGCCGACGAGCTTGCGACCATGAAGGTTCCCGTTTTGGGTGGGTGAGGGTTGGTGAGTTGTTGTCAGAAAACCGGGAGGGGTGGGCACGGAATTTTCTTCTTTGGATAGGCTGGTGCTGGTGACTTGTTCGCTCGCAAACTTCAGGTTGGGATGCTTCCTTCTGTGTTTCCTGATTGTTCCTCAGGCCCAAGAAACTAGCTAGAGCACGTTCAACAGAGAATCCTTGGTTTTGATGGAACTTCCACCGAGAATCCTTGGTTTTGATGGGTATGTGGCCAATGCCCCGCAGAATCTCCTGCTTCTAGGGGTACCGTCCCCATTCTTTCCAGGCATCCTTCTTTCTAAAAAGACCGCCCAACATTCTGGGGAAACGGATCCGTTTTTTGAAAAGAAGGATGGTTGAAAAGAATGGGGAATCGGAATCAACCCCTAGAACTTTGGGGCCCGGTGTCCGATTCCGAGAAGAGACACACCCTCTCTTAAGGAATCAACTTCTAGACTGCTGGTCTCTTTGATCAGGGCTCCTTGTGATTGGACAAGGAATCAACCCCTAGAACTTTGGGGGTCCCTCTCTTGGACAAGGAATCAACCTCCCCAGTCTGGTCTCTTTGCTCAGGGCTTGTGATCAGGCCTTCCTTGCGCAGCGCGCGCCTCTGGAGGGCTACACCCACACAGTCTTCACGCTGGCGCATTGGATTCGACCAGTTCCGTCGGCTCGAAACCTGGGCTTGGACTTGCCGTGGCGGGGTTATTTGAGGAAATCACCCGGCCAACTTTGGCCACAACGTAAAACATATCCCTAGGGGAACGTCCTCTTGTTTTTTCTTTAACTATGCCTGGCAATGCCAAGCAGACTATTGTCGTACCCCTTGCAGTTGTGCCTCTCATTTTTTGCGTGGTGCCTGACATCCCTGGTCCATTTCTGATTTCAGGCTGGTGAGTCCTGCTTCGTCCAGATAGGTGTGGAACATAACAAGCATTTTGCCCTATTTTCTTGTTGCAGGTCCTTTGATTCCAAATGGGAGTGTCCAAAAGTTGAGAACCCCCCTTTGGGCAAGACTAGGCCCTAGATTGCCGCAATCCCCTAAGTGACAAAGTAGTAATGGAGATGGGGTACCCACTTTGGTACATCAGAAAGGTGGCCATGCTTTGCGTGGACTTGTTTTCAATTGGTGGACTCGAGTCGACCAATACGCGGATTGGTCTGTTCGGGGCCGCGTAGCACGCCATTGGCAATGCCGTCTCGGTCCCTCATGTTTCAGTCGCACGGGCGAGCATGCGGCGTGAATGAGCCGGCACCATATTGCATCATTATGTATTTGTTGGGTCGGTCAGCTGATGCTAGTATCATTATTAGTTCAGGCGGATAATAGGGACATAACCTGGATAACTACTATGCAGACATTCGAGGTCTCTTAGAACCCCTAGTGCAGGTTTGTGATCCCCTGTGTGTGCGTGTGCCCGCGCGTGTGTATTGGGTATCTTCAGTGTTAGGTGGTTCCAACAAAACTCAATGAGCTAGTTACGCCTTGCAATCTTGGAGATTGATCGAACCACTCCTGCAGCACAACATGATGGGGAAACTCAAGGGCGATCTTGATCCGATACATATATGTCAGGACAGCCAAACAGGAGACCCGATGAAACAAACGCTTGCGAATTGGGGTACCTGAGGGGTAGACTCTAAGGCCGTGGATCACTATGAGTGGGTGAGGGTAGGGGTGAGAGATTGCAAGTACACCAAGTAGATGCGCATTAGACGGTGTGGATGTTTCCTTCTTGCCAAGTTTCTGGAATTAATCGCAGGTGTTTCAAGCACCTCCGAAGTGTAGGGTTCCTTTTAGAGGTATGCCAGTGGCTTCCCAGGATTGGGGCGGTGGGATGGGACGAATTGTGTTTCTCCTTCCGGGTGTCCGATCATTGTAAGTTTCTGAAATCTGGAAACGGCCCACAGAGAACTCTTCTTGGAAATCTTACGTGGTTGTGTCGTTTTTTGAGGGAGCCTTTCGTTCAGTGGGTATAAAAGGCAATCAAGCGGCAAACCACCATTTTGAGGGTCCCCTAAACAGACACACCCATATGTCTCGTTTCGAGTGGATTGTTGAAACAGACATCTGCCTTTTGGCAATTTCAATCAAGCTTCCTTTGCTTGGGGGAGTGAAGGATAACTTGGGGGACCCCCTCCTTTTGAAGGGAACCCCCTCCTTTTGAAGGGAGCCCCTCTCACCCGAGAAGCCAACTGGCTATGGGTCAAAATTAGACCACCAGGAATTGGCCCGATTTTAGTCCTTGGTTCCATTACCCGGGGTTACCCATTTTGGGCCTGTACCGATTTTTGACCCACACCCAAATTTGGGGTCTCCAGCCCTCTCTCGCTCTCGCTCACAGGCGGGCTTCGACACTGCGCTGAGCTTTGCTCTGGCCCCAGAGCTTCGGTGGGCGGGGAAAATGGACGGATTCGAAAATCTCTCCTACGTCAATGTGGACTGATCATGTGGACTGATTCCGCCTACTCACATTCAACAAGTGTCTGGACATACAGTTTCAAAAAGGTCTCCTCTTTTGTTATATTTGTGGCTGGGTCCCCCAGTAGCGCCCTTTTACCCTTTCTTTGTTTGGGGGAGGGCTCCCCTACTAAAAAAGACTACAGAAAAAAGTTGGTACCCTTATTCTAACCTCTCTACTGGAGGACCTAGTTTCAGTTCTTCGGCAGGAGGTCGTTTTTGTTTCAGTGGGGACTCATATCTTCCAAAACCAACGGGACCCCAGATTATCAAGCGGGGGAAGCTAACAATTGTGGGGTCAACATCAATGGCGCCTTTGTTTTGATACTCTTTTGTCACGAGTCACCATTAAGCTGCATTGGCTCATGGCTCTGATCAAGCGCGTGAATTTGGTTTAGGGCGCCCTCAGGGTTTGGTTCTGTAACATAGCCAAGTGTCCACTGCACAAACTGTTTGTGTTGATAATGTTGGACCTGCTCCAATATGACAGTCACTTGGGCCTCTTTAGCGGGAAAAGGGGTCTAGGGCGGACTTGTAGTTGCCAACACTTAGTTTAGTATTCCCAAGTCTAAACGAGTATTGCCAAGAGTTACTCTCGGATTCCTCGTACTTAGTTTAGCATTGCCAACTCGAAATGTCCTACTGCCCAGACTTACTCTAAGATTCCCGGAAATTAATCTAGCATTGCCAATTCTAGATTTAGTGTTGCCGAGACTTACTCTCGGATGCCCAGATCTCAGCTAAAAAGGCTAAGACTTTAATCGTAAAGCTTCGCACCCCCAAAACAACTTAACATTGATACGAACCCCAAAACAGTCAGATTGAAGGGGGATTGCCTTGCTGATTGGCCTTGGCTTTTGAAAAATCGCTGGCTTGGAGACGTCAATACCAGGAGCTCCTACAGCTGAGTAAGCCCTTTCGCAAGGGTTTAGATACATCACCCTGAAGTAATTGAAAGGCTAAGGCCTTGATCTGGTATGTTTGTTTGTTTTGTTTTGCCTGTTTTCGTTTTTTCCCCAACAGCTGAAAGCTTTGGGGTCTCAGCCCAGATAGGCTCCGGGGTGGTCCGGGGTGGCCCTGAGGTAAGGTTCCACCAGGGTTCCACCAGGGTTCCACCAGGGTTCCACCAACCAGGGTTCCACCAGGGTTCCACCAAGGTTCCACCAAGGTTCCACGAGGGTTTTGCGAGGGCTGTGAGGTGCGAACACTAAAAAGAGCACTGCATGCTGTTGGGGATATCACCTGAGCATATATTCCCCCCCCCCCCCCTGGCAAAACAGTTTCTATTAAGGCGACCCTCGAAACAGTCGCAGGATTCTGAAGGGGGAAAACCACTTTCTGTTGCGCGACCATTCAAAAACGATTCCCATACAATATGATTCCAAGTCAGTGACAGCAGGAAGCGAGTTGCTGTGATCCCACGTTCTCTGAAGCACTTAGGGAGGCAGGCTGCTATGGTAGATAACCCTGCAGGGCAAAAGAAGCACTTGCGTTTGGATGTTCAACCCACTTCACAAATAGGTTGTGTGCCTGTCAACAAAGGGGCTTGCCCAAGTGATCTCAGTGACATCCATGGTTACAACTTACAACGTTCTAGGGATACCTTCCCCATTCTTTCCAGGGATCCTTCTTTCTAGAAACCCCCGGACACCCATGGAAAACGGATCCGGTTTTTGAGAAGGAACGAAACGTGCAAGGAGGAAGTGGGGATTTGTCCAAACGTCTCACTTGACTCTCCTCCACCCCCAATATTGTTTTTTTTGCCGTTATTGTTTCTTTTTGTTTTAGGGAATCTATCACTGGACGTATTTTCTTTTCTTTTTACAGGGGGCAGACATTCGCAAATGGGGGTGGCTCAAAACAAGCGGGCCCCAATTCTGGATGGTTTAAACCGCCTTCTTGGAAGGGGTCCCCAACTTTGAGAAACACCCAAATGGAAGTGGTTGGCATCCTCCAAATTGGGTCCAACTTCTGAAAATCCTGAAATGGTATGGCAACCGAAGAAATCAACCAGTGGGCGTGCCCTTTTACCCTTCCTTTTGCGGGGGAGGGTTCTACAGAAAAAGTTGGTGCCCTTATTCTAACCTCTCTACTAGACTCTCAGTTCCTCGTCAGGAGGTCGTTTTTGTTTGAGTGTGGACTCCTGGATCCGGTGTTATTTTTCTACTGGGGCCGCCTATTGGCTCTGTTTGGGTGGCGGCTTTGGCTGGCTTAGATCTTGATGCGGGCGGGTCTTGCGGTGGTTTGGGGTTGATTTAGGCGAAGCGAAGGGCTGACATCCGGGCTGCTGTTGGGCGGGTTTAGGGTTGACTTTGAGTGGGTTTGGGTTGGTTTGGAGCTGATTTGTGCTACGCGTGCTGCTGGTTTAGCAGCGGCTTTAGGCGTTGCCCCAAACAACCAAACCTCGCCCATAACTCACTTAACCACACCCTAAAGCAAACCTTAAAGCCGCTGCTAAACCAGCAGCACACGTAACACAAATCAGCTCCAAACCAACCCAAACCCACTCAAAGTCAACCCTAAACCCGCCCAACAGCAGCCCGGATGTCAGCCCTTCGCTTCGCCTAAATCAACCCCAAACCACCGCAAGACCCGCCCTCATGAAGATCTAAGCCAGCCAACGCCCCCCTAACTTAAACCAGACCCCCAGCAAGTAGGCAACCTCAGGGCCAAGTGATGCTGGTGATGCTGGGGATGTTGCCGGCCCTACGGAAAACCAGCCCTAGGAAAAAACCAGCCCTAGTAAAAATATATAAAAAATATATAAACATATAAACAACCGTTTCCGTGGACTCCTCTCTTCCAAAAACAAGGGGACCCCTGATTACCAAGCGGGGGCGGGTGGCTCGGGGGTTTCTCCCGGTTCGACGTCCGAGGCGGGCGCCCGGATCTTCTCTGGGGGCAACGCGGTGAAGATCGGGGGCACCGCGCTCACGCTGCTGCTTCTTGGCGGCCAAAGGCGACTTAAAAAACGGGTCGAGTTGGGGGTTAGGGGGGGGTTGGGGGGGTTGGGGGTCGGGGCGGGTCAGCAGGGGGGTTAGGGGGGTTAGGGGGGTGAGGGGGGTGAGGGGGGTTAGGGGGGTTGGGGGGGTTGGGGGGGTTAGAGCAAGCAGAGGCTTACCCACAAGCAAATACCATAGACTCCCCCCTATGGTTTTCACCCCATTTAATAACTGCCCCCCAAATCAACCATACCAAAACCATAACATGAGCTTAGGGGTAAGACCCTCATAGAAAAAAACCACCAAACAACAAACCAAACAAAAAACCAAACAACCGACCAAACAAAAAACCTAGGACCCCCTCCCCACACTTTAGCAACATTTTAAAACAGCACCCCAAACAGCACATTTCAAAAATCAACATTTCAAAGCAGGTAATTTCCTAGTAAGTTCATCCATATTTTAAAATATAAATTTTAAAATATAAGTTTTAGAAAATATAGTTTTACATTTTTTTCAAAAAATATTATTCCAAAAATTATGATAAATTATTTTACAATAAATTTTATCACAAATTTTGTAGACATATTATGGGCAAGGTCTGGTTCATTCGTTTTTTTATAATTAATCAAATCTTCTTCTAAACATTCTATATTTATACAATATGTTAAAATCAAATGCATCTAATTTTTCTTTGCTACAAACCCATCTGTTGCCATTCTTTTTCATTTCGATTAACCATTCAAATTCTCTAAAGCTTAAATACCACCAATTGGATGTATTTTGACTGTATGAATAGTTTCCAGCATTTCTAATTACTTGTTGGTTGTTGGTTTGTTCCATATATTTTATCATTGCATGTTTTAATGGGATGTACTTTTTCGTTTCAATATTGTTTATCATTTTATGATGTTCTGTAATTTCCTTTTCTAATCGTTTTTCAGTTACAAATCCGTAACTGTCATCTTCTTCTTCTGTTGTATTATCATTATCACTCAAAAACTCATCAATTGTTTTAGTTTCCTGTTGTTCACTATAAGTTAAGAATTCATTGATAATTTCTTCCTGTTCAACCTCTGTAAATACAACCATATTTATCACTAATATATATAGGTATTATTTCTTTAAACCTTTTTAGTCTAAAACTATAATTTCAACATTTCATGTCGCAATAGAGGTTTGGGAAAATCACTAACAGAATAATATTTTTGTCCTAACTTAGTTTCTGTTTTAGTTACGGTGTGAATAGTCTTCAAATAATGACTGGTTCTCTCTTTCTCGCTAATCGCTTTCTTTCTCATTATCTTGACTTTGTCCCCTACATCTAAATCAGGATACACACGGGTTTTTCTGGCATTCATTGATATATTCAGTTTCACTTCAAACTCATTCTTTTTCTTCCTTGCTTCTAATGGTGTCATTTTCGTAACGGAACTTGCTAATTTATTATTATATGTCAATAATATTTCTAAATTGTAATCAACCCATTGGATGTCTTGCTTTCCTCTCTTCTCATCCGCCTCAACTCTTTTAAATAACATATCTTTGTAGGTTCTAATAAATCTTTCTCCAAAAGCAGGGTGGCCTCTCGTGGTGTGTAATTCAATTTTTTCCTCATCAAGATAATCTGTAATGGTAGAACTAAACAAACTGCCTTCTTCGTCGCTGTATATCATTTTGGGTTTTCCGCCCATTTTCTTAATGCCTTCCATTATTCCTGCTAATACGTCTGGCGGTTGCTTACTTGCAATAGGTATTACAGTAGCATATTTACTAAATATATCAATCAATATTAGTCCAATTCTAAACTTTTGATTTTCCAAATCATTTTTAGAAATAAAAAACAAATCCAACTGGAATTCCCAAAATGAGTGTGGAGCAACAAAACTATTCTGCCCTCGCATTTTCCTTTTTTCCTCAACATTATTTTTAAAGAATTCATTTACATCGTCCGCAGTAATAGTTTTATCTTTCTGTCTGGCATCTTTCAACGTTATTCCTTTACTGCCATAACCGCTTTTATCGTAATAAATATCACTAATTATTTTTTGTTTATCCATATAATAAATTAAGATTTATTATATTGATAATATTATTTATAATTTAAATTCAGGATAATAAGTTAATTGATGATTATTAAATTGTGTATATATCTCACGTCTTTCATACATGATTTTAATAATAATATTGATATCTCTCACGGTATTTTTCACATTAAACTTGTTGCTTTCAATATATGATTTAATGTCTCCTTTTAAATCAGACCCGTCTTTCCTACGATTCAACAACATCCATAATATATGGTTAATCATTTCATACTTTTTCTTACCGATTTTGAGAAATATTCTAACATAACTATAAGGTGGTCTTTCATACACAGTTAAACATATCAAAATTTCATCTCCAACATTTCTATTATTTCTTCTTTCCAAATTTAAATGATATCTGATTAATTCTTGATTATTTCTCCATTCCTGACAAATTTTACATTCATCTTCTTCACCCAAAGCATAATCAATAATATTATTAACTATTCCATTAGGTAAATTCATTTTGTATAATTCCATATGTTCTTTTTTGAAGTGGCAACAGTCATAGCATTTCTTATTGATATAATTATTTACTTCTTGTTCCTTCATTACTCTCTACTATATATAGGTATTATTTCTTTAAACCTTGTTTAGTCTAAAACTAAGATTTTATTATGAAAAAATATTAAAATCTTAATGAGCTGAAACATTACAATATACACAGAATGAAGTTGACTTATCTATATGGTGAGCGATTGAATTATCAAGGCGCTGACAAGTAAAATTGCTACATAATTTACCTTTCTTCGTTTCAAAGTTAAATGAAGTATTACACTTTTGGCATCTGGCGCGAAACTGTGATAAACACCATTCAGCACTAATGTATTCTTCCTCATTAATTTCTCTTTGAGCGCGACGGTCTTGTATCTTATAATTTTCTACTTTGTTTTTAAAATATCTCATTATCATATTTTTATCCATTTGCTTATCAAAGTCTGGATTACAATAAAATTTAACTTTCCTAAAATCAACACAGCGAGTCAATGCCGTCCATATCCACTCTCTGCTGGTTATGGGTAAGTCCCATTCGTGAATAGTTATGCTTTCCTTTACGCTTGACCCCTGACTTGAATGACAAGTAGCACAGTAAGGATAGATGAAGTTTTTATCTACAATAGGTTCAGACAACATAAACTCATCTTCTTGTCTTGCTATATTCTGTAATGTTATTTGCTTCCCTAATTCATCATCTTCTATCTTTGTAATCCTGTATCTCAAATTGATATTAACCCTTGGTTGTTTAATCCATGTTCTGGAAACCAAAATATCACCCACTACATATTTCTCACTTATGTTTAATCTGTCTCTAATCTCATTTGCTACATTTTCGCATCTCATATTGGTATAAGCGATATTATGCTCTGATGCCATGATGTCATCGGTTAAATAACTGTATTTAAGTATAAACTCTTTGCGTGGAATGTTGTTTTCCCACCAGTCACTATACATATCATTTAATATTTTTCTGTTTCTTTCTCCTTCTACGCTGTCCTTTGCTCCTACTCTCTTACATATTTTTAAGAAAATATTATATTTAAGCATTGTGTCTATACAGTTGTCAATGTATGTTGCGGGGTCTTGGCAGTTTGTCATGGTTTCCACCCCTTCTAATTGTTTCACGTCGCCAGTAGCAATTCTGATAATATGAGTGTTGTTTTCCATAAACTGCCAAACTTTATTCAAAGTGTATAAATTCAACATATAAATCTCATCAAACACTATTACATCATAAGGCGAATAATCATAAATTGGTAATTTCTCTCCGACATCTTCATGAACGGCAATGCTAAAAAACTTGTTATATGTTGTTGCTTCTATTCCTTTATCTTGTATTTCTTGTAGTTGTCGGTTGGTAGGCACTACAAATAATACATTCTTATTCATCTTTTGGAAATGCTGACCTATATAACTCTTGCCTGTGCCCGGAAATTTACCCCTAATAATTACTGGATTTTGTTTAATAACTTTTTTACAAATGCTTTCAGTAATCCATTCATCTTCAATAGAAATATTAATATTCTTAATCTTCGGTATTTCAGGTAATTCATTAAACTTATACTTATATGGTTGTGTCGGTAATGTTATAGTGTGCTTCTCTTCAAGTCTCCAGTCGCCTATTTCATCGCCAAATTTCAGCAGTCCTTCCCGCCATTTTCTCAAACAAGTATATCCATAAACTTTATCCAAATCGTCTTTGTGGATAGTAAAACTGTCCGTTTTAACACTATACACTTTAATATTATTATCAGTTAATGTTTTATATGTTTCATACATTTTGAAATTGTGGTATTGTAAAAGCAGTTCTTTAATATACATAAATCCATTAGTCAATACTTTTTATCTGAAACATTCAATACATAATATGTCATGCCTTCTGTATCCTTTACTCTCATTTCATCATCTTCTAATTCTTCTAATTCTGTTTGGTACAGACCGATTGTATAGATTTTACTGTTTGGATTCAACTTTTGATAATAACGCGCCTCCCTCAATGAGTTAAATGTGCTACTTTTCTGTGATGTGTTATGCGATTTTTCCAGCATACCGATGCTTATGTTTGCTACTTTCTTTTGTAGTTGCTTATTTAAATCTTCATTGCTTGATATGTTTGTAGAATAGAGTTCATCAATTATTTTCTTGTAATTAACTTTATAAACATGATTAGGTTGTTCGTAATATAATATCTTCAACTTAATATCACGCTTTAACAACTGCTTTAAAAACTTACCGTAAATCAGATTATATTTCTTGTTAAAAAATATGTTTCCTTCATAGACTTCTACAATGTATAAAGTTAAATTATTAAGACTATTAATATCGCAATTTTGAGTAAAGGGTTTAAAAACATCAAACTCAGTAAATCTGGGGATGTATTTAATACAGCACCCGCCAAAAGTAAATGCCTTTCT